GCTCCCTCCATTACAGAGATGATAAATATCTTTCATTCAAAAAGGTCACGTTCCGGACGATTTGAAAACTGCGCTTGTTTCACTGGAAAATACTTGGCCTTGAACTGGTGTACAGAAACTTCCGCCCAGCCCAGGGAGTAAACAAACCCTCCTTAAAAAAATAGCTGTAACCAGGACAGGACATATTTAGAAAGTAGTAAAAACGTTCTCTGGTAACAAAGATTAAAACATAAGCTTCCGGCTATCAGTCTATAGCCTTTAACGAATGAAAATGGAAGGCGCGCGAATGAAAATATATACGAAAAAGGGGAGCGAAAAATTTGATGGAACTAGAATACAAAAAGAAGTGTGAAAAGAGCTAATAGGAGATAAAAATGTAAATTATGTCTAATGACAATAAAACGGAATATTGCCTAGGCAATGGTTTTGAGTTACTGTCTGCGCCGACCGTTTTCGAAGTGTGCCCGGATTCTAGCGTTTCCCGAACACGGGAGTTGCCCTTGTCGATTACACACGCTTTATAGAAGTCAGTAGAATGATTGTTTTACCAGGCATGGTTGGCAACTTTAGAGCCCTTTGTGTAGTTCTTTAATTAAGTTTCGTCGATGTTCCTGTTTTCGGGTTTGGAATTATCTTCCGGTTTCTCCTACGTAGTTCCAAGGACAGTCTTTACATGGGATTTTATAGACAACATTACATTGGGGATCCGAACGTTGTCTGAACTTTGGAGACGGACATTCTTGTTGGACGGTTTTAACTGGTTTGCTGACCACTCGGATTTCATTGTTACGGAGTAATCTCGTAAGAGGCTCTGTCAGGCCGCTGATGTAAGGGTGGCATGAGAAACCCTGGCATGTGTCCGATTATTCGACCCATTTGCAAAACATAGAAACCAATTCTTCTGGTTGAGGAACTGTCGGTGAGGGTGGCTTCTTTTTGAGAGTGTTAGAAATAATAGCCGATGGACCGCCGTTAGCTTTTAACGCGTCCATCACGTGGTTGGTTTCACGTGTTTTCCCCTCACAGCTGCTAGAGGTTGGATGCCCGGGATAGAAGGATCGAGGCTTTACTGATTTTGTGTTTTATTTCGTGATGAGAATGTAAATCTAAGTATCGGTCTGTGTGGGTTGGCTTCCGATACACATCAATAACGGCAAAACCATTTCTTCTGGAAACCAAGGTGTCTAGGAAGGCAATTTGACCGCTGTTTTTTACTTCAAGAATAAAAGAAATTTTGGGATCGATAGCGTTGAGAGTATCGTGAAAGGAAGAGACAGCGCTCTTCTTGATAATCACAAAGCTGTCGTCAACATATCGTTCCCAGACCCTTGGTGGAACGGTTAAGGTGCTGATAGCAAATTCTTTAATCACTTCCATGCAAAGGTTGGAAACAGTGGGCCTTACTGGGATGCCCATAGCAAAGCCATGAATCTGCTTGTGTACACAGCTATTGTAGACAAAATAATTGTTTGAAAGGGTAAAGTCTAGTAGAGAAATGATGTCCTCAATGTTGAGGCTTTTTCTAAACCGTAGCGTATTGTCATTGTTTTACTTGCTCCAGATGTATTCAGAAACTGTGTACACTGGGATAGCTGTGAAAAGCGACACAACGTCAAATGAAACCATCACTTCGTCATCTGAGATTTCCATATTAGACACTTCTTTTGCGAACTGTGAGGAATTAAGAACTAATTATCTATTAAGGTTCTGGATCGGCGATAAAATATCAGAAAGGAATTTAGATGTATTATAAGGGACGGAGCCAATTGAAAAAACAATCGGTCCAAAGGGAAGTCTGGTTTATGATGTTTAATGGAGCCGTGGATGGCGGGCGGAGAACCATCTGTGGAACGGAGTTTGCGATAAGACGTTTCATTAATCTTGTTTTGTCTTTTAAGACCGAAGAGTTTGCTGTTCAGTTCCTTTCCAATTTTAGAGAATGGGTGAGTTTTCGACTAGATGGTAAATGTCACGGTCACCGAGTTGAGCTTCCATTTTGGTGTCATAGTCGGTTCTGTCCATAACAACAAAACAGTTCCCCTTATCAGCTTTCATTATCACTCGTTGATGGTCGTCTTTCAATAGCTGTCATTGCATCTGATTCATCTGATTCATACAAGGTATCTGTGTGA